TAATATTTATTATACTTACTTATTAAATAATTCTATAGATTTTCAGAAATATGTAACTACTTATTAGTTAATTCCTTTTGATATTTTAAATACCAAAAGGAAAATGAGTGCTTCTAAAAAAAATTACTGATTTTATAATCTTCTTGCTAATTAAACAATTGTTCGCTCTTAATTTGTAATATTAAATTAAACTAAAAATCTAATGAGGAATGTATTTGACCACAGTAGAGATAAGTTCATCACTGATCTAAGAAAGTCTGAACCAACAATGGTATCATTATCTGAAATGGGAAATTAGGAAAGAGTTTTTCTTTCTGGGAAGGAAAGACGATGAATTTAGTAGACAGAAAAATTGAATGCTTCATATTTTAACAGAAATGCCGTGGTTAATTATTTGTAGGTCATGTTTAGAAACAGTACAATTTACTTACTTGTCCTGGCCATTTATTTTTAAAAGAGCACTATGGAATCATGGAGATTGTCCTTCTGTGCCTCACAGTGGTGGCAAATCACTTTTTGTCTGCATTAACCTGCGTAATGACCACAAGACAATGGGGTGACCATCTACTCTAGCCCGTCAGCCTTGTTCTTGTTTTGCCTTTTGAGGAAGACACTTGATAAACACACTGACTTCGCTATACTTTCAGGCCACAGGTGCTACTGTTTGTCCCTTCCTCAAATCCTCATTCCCAGGCAAGGCTTTGAGGCTGCACGTGCTTGCCCAGGTCATCTTGCTTGGCTTCTCAAGTGATGCTAAGAAATTCTGAGCTAAACTGTGTTAGCATATTATTTAGAGAGCAATTCTATTAGGTTCTGTGAGTGTGCTTTGAAATTGCTGGAAAGGTTCAGATGGGCAAATGTCAGAGGAAATGTTCATTTCTAGGGAGATTTCCCTTTGCTGGTAAGATTACAGGGACCCAGCAGGAACCCAGAGTTAGCATGACAATCACTGTGAATGGATGACACTTGAGATTCAACAGAAGCAGAAAGAGAACTCCAGCTTCCCTCCTTTCACTTATCAGAATGAGGCTGTCACGATCCCGTCTCATGAACTTGGAAGAAAAACACAGAATAGAGAGGATGACTCACTCCCATAAACAAGTGTCACCACAGGCGTTCTCGATTTCCTTCCCATAGCTCTCCAAGACTCCAGCCCACTTCCTCCCACGGAAGCCTCCTCTGCCCTCCCTTTACGCTAAGCCAGCCACGGATGCCCCGACCGTTAGCCTTGACATGGCCATTCATTTTCTGTCTCCATATGTACATGAATTAACTTCGTTTTTGTTGTCTTTTCCTGTGAATTTATATATTGTCAGTTAAATTCTCAATAATTGAGTATAGGAGCATAGAGGAAAAATAGTCTCTACTGGTTTAAATCTACTGGCTACTTCCAGGAGAAATGATAGAAGAAAATAACTTATGAAATTTATCACCAGAGACACAAAATTAAGTCTGATACTTTGAAAATATTGTCTGTGTATTTTGAAAGGTTCTGGTCATGGTTATGTGAAGCTTGTCTTACATACTAAAATGGACAAAGAATGCTTACAGTAGCAAAGAACCCTGGATCCGCAGGGGAAAGCTTACAGGTGAGAATGATTTTAACAAGGTTGGCACAGAATTCTCTTGGCCTTAACTTCCTGCCCTTGATGAGAGGCAGGTGGCTTTCCTTCTAGCCGGCGGGGCGAGGGGGGGGGGCGCCTTCCATACCTCCTGCCTTAAGTAATGGAAAGGAAGTCAGAATGATCTTCTTGCACCTGCAGGTTTTCAAGAGATTTAACTGAAGAGAGTCAAGTTGCCACAGTGATTTGATTTCAGCTCCTTCACTGATAAGTTTTAAAAACATCAAACTAAAAACAATTATTTCCATTCTGTTACTTAGTATGCCATAGGCACAGAGTTACATGAATTAAGCAGAGGAAAGATCTTGGTTTAGAATTCAAGAAAATCGTGGGTAAGATTCTGGCTTCACCTCTTCTGTAGCGCACCATCATTAATGGGAACTGGTTACAAGAACTTCCACTGACTGCAGAGCTCAGAGGGGCTCAGTTATTCTCACCTGGGTGAAGTGGAGATGATAGTGATTTCCTTAAGGAGTTCTACGAATGAGAGATGGTGTGCGAATTGGAAAGGGCTAGCAGAGCAGCTGGCATTAAGAGGCATTGCCATGCCATTATCATCAAGAACCAAGGGATAGAAATGTCTTTATTATTCATTTCTATTAATTTCTCCAGTTTACTTTCTAAAAGGTACATATTTGATTATGGAGATTATCTTGTGATAAATATGGATTTCTTCCAAAATGTTTATAAGACTATTTAAGATAAGAAAAAAATGTTTATAAGAATATAGCAATTTTGATAATAAAAACAAGCTTCAGTGCTTCAACTTTAATATAATTCCATGATTATCATATTATTAAGCATTTTTTTTTGGGGGGGGGCTACTGGGGATTGAACCCAGAGGAGCTTTAACACCAAGCCATATCCCCAGCCCTTATTATTTTTTATTTAAGACAGGGCTTCACCAAGTTTCTTAGGGCCTTCTAAGTTGCTGAGGCTGGATTTGAACTTGGGATCCTCCTCCCTCCTCTCCCTTGTAGCTGTGATTGCAGGTGTGCACTACTGCTCCAGGAAGTGTCAAGCACTTTGAAGATATGCAAACTTGGTTTATGACGTTGATGTGACATTAGAAAGTCACATGGCAAATGTACTGAATGACTTTCTCCCATCACGTTGCTCTGAGCACACACAGATTTACATTCCATTTTTACTTTGAAAGATATATTTTTTCTTTCAACACTTATTTTCTTCAATGAACAAATTGTGAACCATTGACCTTTTGGGGTCAGTTGGAATCTGTTTCAAAATATAATGAAACATATATTTCATAATAAATACATTATCTCTATATTTTGCTATATATCTAATAAATATTAAAATACAAGTATATAAAACATTTTAAATGGTAAATAATAGGCAAGACATAATAATGATTTAGCTGGTGAAACCTCATTTTCTTTCCCTCATTAACCAAGTATCAGAAAAGAGGGATGAACTAAAATAATCCATGCAATGTTGAGATGGGGTCAAACCTGGCCCACAAGTATATGATCCGTGTGACCACATAGTATTTGCTCACATGTTTTAAATTTGAATCACATGTGTGTGTATATATGTGTGTGTATATATATTATATATAATTTATATATTTCTTTATATATGTATATATATAAGAAAAATGCCTAGAAAGCCAGACTTATGGCTATTCTTTAAAAATATACATGGATATGTTATAATAATATATGTTATATAATAAAATATAGTCAACTATGTGTCAAATATAATATATATTATTAATAAATATTTTTCATATTAAAATATATGACATGATATTGCTTGAATTCTTATGTGGCAATAATTAACAAGACTGCAGAGCATCTTCCCTCTTTAGAGAGAACCTGCTCCCTGGGTCTGCAGTTCTTTCCTTCCTCATTTCTCCCTAACTTTGAAAAGCATGTTATAGAGGACGTCTTTATACATAGGACTTGCCTGGTCCTCACAGGAACTTTAATTTTAAATCTCTGTAATACATGCATACTTGATGAAAATATAATATCATAACAACCATATGTTTTCTAAAAACATTTTATGTTCCAAATTTCTGATATGTGTGTAAATGAAATTGTTTATTACCTCACTTTGTAAAATAATCCAACAGTTCCTGGATCACTTTACTCACTTAGACCACTGACGGTCAGTGGAATTCACTTTGAGAAAGAAGGGTTTATAGCGTAGAGTACCAAGATCTTAGTTAATGTAAAAGGCCAGATGTCATTGGTCCACTCCTTTCCTTTACTATCTCAACTGTTATAGTTAAAGCTTCGTCCCAGGGTTTCATAAACTGACTTCCAGACCACTCACGTGTAATCGAATCAAGCCTTTATTGAAGCACACCGGTGGCAGCTGACCAGAACATAAAGCTGTTCCCCTGATCAGCCCTGAACAATTGCAAGGGCACTCCTTATAAGCCAGAAAACCCAAAAGGGATGTTCAGGGGGGTCTAGCCAATGCAAGCAAGCCAGGTTACAGAAGTGGGACAGTGCAGTCAAACGGAGGGAAGCCTAACCAATCACAGTTAGCCCAGTCACCCCAGTTACAGAAACAGAGCCCCGTTACCCTAGTTACAGAAACAATACCCCATTAGGTACTTTTGTGTTCTTAAAGGTTTCTATAGCAAAAGGAAAAGAATAGTTTGCCCCAGTCATGACTTTTCTACTTGGCATGGTTGTTTTACAGGATGAAGTCATAAAACAAAATGGAGTCACATTTGCTTCTACTATCACACAACTAAAACCCAGCACTCTCCCAAACTCCTCCCAAACCATGAGGTAAGATCGAAATTATCAGAATTTGCACATTTGCTAAAAGAATCCATTTGCTTACTCATTCCTCCATCAGCACTTTTTCACCCCCTCGTGTACATGGCAAAGTAAGTTTTACTTACATGCCTACCCTCCTGATTTATTTGTTCACTTGAGCAACAATAACATTCTTGTTTGTCTTTTGATGTTCAGTATTTTCACTGTTCTGGAAAAAAGTAGATAACAAGTCATTCAGAACATGCTTAGTGAATGAAAGAGAAAATGAATTATGTGACAGTGATCAATTTGAATCAATAGCTAAACCACCAGCAATTGGGAAGCTGAGGCAGGAGAATTGCAAGTTCAAGGCCAGTCTTAGCAATTTAGCAAAACTTACAGTAATTGGCTGAGACCCTCATTTCAAAATAAGAAGTAAATATAAGAATATAGATCAGTGGTCAAGTCTGAACCATTCATTGCAAGATATCTCCCTCTCTGGAGAGCTACCTTTTCCCATCTCTGCACCGTGAGGAAACCATTGTGACAAATCAGTACAAGATACTCAGAAGAAAGCTCTGGATGCCCTAAGAGTGTCTCTTATTAGTTAGAGCTTTGAAATTATTAGTTTTTAGACTGTACAGATGTTTAGTTAGGGCTTTTTTATAACACTAACTTTGAGCCATTCAATCATGAATTTGATTTTGTTCCTGCTAAACTTACAGAACCAGAACCAAAAATCTTTGTTTGACCGTTTCTTTTCTAAAAGTTATTTCACAAAATATTATGGAGCTTTTAGGAGAGATTCAACATCAAAACAGAATTTATCTAAACATTTCACGAATAGTGTGACTTTGAGCAGAGACTTCACAAAGAGATCCTGTTTGTATTTATAAAAAGGACATAGGCTTTCCATGGCAGGTAGCACCTCGGCTACGATCAGCAACCTTTGCAACAGTGTGAATGGTCTCCAGGTGTCAACTGTGGCTAGAGGAAGTCGTCCACATGCATTTAATTCTTTACATCTTCAATTAGCTGAATAACCATTGCCTTTTAATTCAACTGACCTGAAATGGAAGGCAAATGAAAGAATTCCTTCACTGCTATCTGTTAAGCTCTCTTGTTCTCTCCTTCCTTCCCCAACCAAGCTCAAACTGCTGCTGAAGATGAGAACAGAAACATGCAGTGGCTACTCTGGGTCCTCCCAGAGCTCTCTCTTTGGTCCTCCCTTCACTAACACTGGCTGCTCCAAATACTGGAGGCACATGTGTTCTTCACATCCTGCAGCTTTGCCTCTTCAGAGCCAGGGGCTGCTGGGTCCTTGGCTTCCTTCTGAATGTATTTGCATGCTGGAGGCGAACTGGGTGGAGGACCCTGTTGAGGACTGTGATGAAGGTCTTCTGGTATTGGAGGAAAATGAATCCACTTTCAAATGCCATCAAGAGTAGCTGCCACATGATGGCAACTTCCAGTAAGAAGTTGTACTCTGTTTTCAATAGCTGAAAACAACATGCATCTGGGAGATTGCTAATTTGAGCTTTAGTTGTGCTGACGGCCAAATCAACCTTGCAAGGAGATGTGCTCTGTAGAAATTGAAGATCAGATATCAGATTTGCTGTAAAAATCTGTCAGCAAAAGCAGCTGGAGTGATAGCTAGGCACAGTTTTAGAAATGACTCCATCATGATGACTCATAGAAGGGATGCGTTAAGGAAGCACGTGTCCATTTCAATAACAGTTTGCAACTTTTCAGTAGAAGCTAGAAAAAATAAGCATACTTTCACTTATCACCATTAGGGTCAATAGTGAAGCATGGATCTACTTATATCAATCAGGAGATGGTGACATGGCCCAATTTCATTAAAAATTAATGTGCCATGATCAGAGCCCTGAATTCTGTATGAAAGGCATCGGTTGATCTGGGCTGGCACAATTTAAAAGGCATAAAACCTAGTCTGACACAAACATCTTATCACTTAGTCATGGGACACATTTTGCCAGAGGGAGGAAATAAATATCAATAGAATTTGTTTAAACTGGCATTGAAACATATATTTATCTCACTTATCTCTGCAAACGTATGCCAAGATCGAATAAACTGAGTGAAATATTACTGAATAGGAACTAAATGATGGTGGAACCGGGAAGATCATATTTCTCCAAACATGCAATCCGTCACTGAACTCTCGATAGAGTATGCTCCACTTGAAAGAAATCCATTCCTCAAGTTTATACATAAAATGACTTCTACTTAATGGTAAGTGACACACATGGCCAATATAGATGGCAGAAAAGGGAGAAGCCAACCAAAGAGCTTTCCAGTGTTTTAAACTTACACAGTTCAAATATTTAAAACTAGAAACTTGACCGAGCAGTTTTATTATTCTGTTATCGTTTTGGTGTGGATTTCTTGTGTGTTTTGGAATAGACCTGTGAGCTTAAATCTGTAGTGTAGAGCTGTGGAAAAAAAGGAAAGGCTAGATTCAGTGGTATTTTTCAAAAGGAAATACAAAAGAAATCCTAATTGTCACTGAAGATCTCTAGACAGAAGCCTTCTTGGTTAATAGGTCTATGGTCATCAGCACCTTTTCATGGAATCCCAGGGTGATGTGGGAAAGAAGGAAATCTTAACCTAGGAACCCAGTTCCATAAAAGTTTCTTTTTTCTTTTTTTTTCCTCTGACAGAAAACTTCCTTGAAAATAAAGTAAACACAATTGAGAGATTAAACTTTGTGATGATTAACTTTTATGACCTTTAAGATATAAAGGAACGTTTAAAAGGAGTTCTGTTTAGGGTGGAGAGGTGAATTATCTTGACAGGAAGGTCTGGAGGCTCCATCTCCATCTCTCCTGGTGAAGAGCAGAGGAGAAAATGGCCTATCAGGTTCTGTGCAGTGCTAGACAAATGTCACTCACTAAAGAGCCAGGAAGCCCACAGTGCATGCCCTGTCCCTGGAAGAACTTTACAAAGCTTCCTGCTACTCAAGAACCAAAGTTCTTCACGTGCTGACTAATCTAAAACCGCAGGCATTGGACATGCCTGCCAGGCTCTGCTCAGATCTCCCTCAAGGTCCTCAGTACTTATGCATAGTCTGAGTCCATCCTCAGGATGAGTGAGACTCTCCTGGGGAAGGGGACAGCCAAGGATGAAGCAGAACAATCTGCCTTCCTGCTGCTCAGAGTCCCCTGTTGGTGTACTAGATCTAACACATTTTGGGAAGCATTTTTTTTTCTTGGGTAAAAGCACTTTCTTAGGTGACCCCCCCCATTCCTTCTCTGCTTCTCTCCCTAAGAGGCCCTCCTGGTATTTTAGTAGAGGGTACCTGCTTACATGCTCCACAACAGCAGTGAAGACAGAGTTTCTGTCTGGTGACTTCTGGTGTTCCTTGCCTACTAAGTGACCTACTAAGAGAGGTCAGCCAGCAATTATATCACAACACAGTTATCTCTGTGTTAGAGATAGTGCAGATGTGGCTGCCATATTACCCAGCTCCAGGCACACCATGTGGATAGCTCTCCCACCTCTGAGCAGTGCTCGGCCTGTGCACACTGGCATGGCAACCTGGAGAAAAGAACCAAAGAGGCTTATGTGACCCAGACTTGGAAATTAGAAGAAGCAACACAGGTAGTGGGCAGAGGTTAGCTGGATCAAGGTGCAGGAGGGACAGTGAGTAAGAATCAGATGAACAAAAAGAAGAAAGGTCACATCAGCTCCAGGGCTGAGTGGGAGAGAGGGAACTGCCGCAGTCTGGCTGGGCACAAAATAACCAAGCCGCCACACAGCCTTGTAGGTTCAAAACAGGAACTCCTTTATTCTGCACTCCCGCAAACACCACGCACACAGCCTTCTCCTGGGACACACCACCCACCAACCCGAAATCCCTCCTCCTGAAATCCTTCCTCCGGCCCTTCCCCAACCAACGAGAACTCTCCGCGAGAACTCCAAAGTAGCCAGAGAACTCCAAAGCTGCAGGTGCCCGAGGCAGCAAGAGCACCCCATTGCCCAACAGTAAAGGTCAAATATACAATACAATCAATCCAACATCACAGTAATTATATATAGCTTAACTCAAACCATCATCTCAATGGTTCACCTTTCAAACATTCCCTCTGGCAAATGCCATTCAACTCTGCTGTGGCTCTCAGCAGGGAATGAAGCTGGCAGCACAGAGAACCTTGCAAGCATCTTGAGGATGCTTGCTTCAGGGACACTGGGAACTGCTGCAAAACTTTTCAGCAGGGACATTTCAAGGGCAGACTTGCACACGGAAGGCATTGCACCTTGGAATTTCGATAGCTGGATTTGCTTTTTAGCTGCGCTGCAGTGTGCAGACAAGTAGTTGGGAAGTGGTGGTGGTAATCTGGCCTGGAGACATGAAGCCAGGGCAAGGACTCACAGAGGGAATAGAGAAGAGGGAGCCTGCAGCAAAGGCAGGGAAAGTGGGACTAGGAATGCTGGGCTAGTTAGGCCCAAGGCCTGCAGGAGAGAAAGGAGAAGGATGCTCCCCTTTGCCTGGGACAAGACAGCAATTCTACTAATGGAGATACAGGGAGTGAGGACTGGGAAGGAGATGCCTTGGGGTTTATTTGGGGTTAAACTTTCTTTCGGGCCTGGGGCCATGCAGGAAGACATATCCAGGGAATTATTGCAACATGTGACTGCTCATATCCAAAGGAGCCACCCAGGAGACGGGGCCAAGGGCTCAGTCCCAGAACTGATGGACCCCTGACACGGGAAGACTTTCTCAGGTGGAGGATGGCTAATTACATCCTTGTCCCTTGTATCCAAGCACCATAATGATTTGATCAAATTACCCAGAAATACAAACATATGTAATAGAAAGTACGTATGAGGTGTTAACGGGATGGGGAGAGTGGGAGAGCTCGGGAGCAGGCTCCATGCACCCACCGCTGCTCTCTGCATCTCTGACTGTAAGCCACCCACAGCCTCAGGTTGTTTGTGGCCTTGTATAAAGGACATCATGCTGTGCCTGTGACCCACCCTAGTATTCTCTCCCTGATTTCATCGCTTTGATGTACAGAACCAATTCATTTATTTAAGTGCTTTATGATATTTCATGTGAAATAGGCTGTCCTTTACCCAGTCTCTTTGTGATGGACACTTAGGTTGTTCCTAATCCTTGCATATTTCTTGTATTGAGAAGCTACACTGAGCACGCTGCATGTGGTTCCTTGTGTACCCATGCGTGAGTCTAAAGCTCTAAAGCACGTACTTGGAAATGGCCAAATCCAAGCAGGGGAGCCTGTTTGACTTACCACGTTCTCCAAACTGCCCTCCTTAGTTATTCAACCAACATGTCCCCCAATCAACATTTTGTGATATCTATTCCTCATGCTCTACAAAACTTGCCATTATTATTATTATTATTATTATTATTTGACAATCTAAAGAGTATAAAATGCTATCAGTATCATTTTAACTTGAATATTTCTGTTCCCTTACAACAGTAAGCAAGTTTTCATGTATTAGTCACTTGGATACCCTAGTCTCTGAATTTCATGGGCTTTGTCCATTTATTGATTTGGTGGCTTGTGTTTTCCTTATTAATTTATTATATAGGCTACATATTACAACTAATAGTCTTTATTACATATTAAGAAAGTTTATCTTTCCATTTTATGCTTAACTTCTACATTGATTTTATATTATTTACATCTTTGATAAAGTAAATCAATTCTTTTTTTTTTTTTTTTTTGGTACAGAGGATTGAACTCAGGGGCACTCAACCACTGAGCCACATCCCCAGCCTTATTTTGTATTTTATTTAGAGATGGGGTCTCACTGAGTTGTTTAGTGCCTCACCATTCCTGAGGCTGGCTTTGAACTTGTGATCCTCCTGCCTCAGCCTCCCGAGCCACTGGGATTACAGTCGTGTGCCACTGTGCCTGGCAATCAATTCTTTTTGTTATGATTTTTCCTAATCCTTTCTAAAAAATATCTCCCATACCCTAAGATCATAAATATACACACCCAAATTTTCTTTTACATATTACCAAATTTTTTGCTCTTGGATTTGGATCTTCAGGTCATCTGGAATTTCTTTATGTGAGTTCAGGGATAGAGAATTTTGTTTACTTATAAGAACAAAATGTTACATAACATTCTAATGAGCTAGCCATGTAGTATAATGCTATTTTCATCATATGTACAATTACTAGGATTTCCATTATGTTTCATTATATTTGTTTCCTTTTTCAATACATACTTTCAATTACGATAGCTTTAGAAATTATATACAGGGTTCATCGACGGATTCTTCTCTCTCTTCAAAAAAAAAAGTGGTTATTCTAGGGCTTTTGTTTTTTCATGCCATTCTATTACATTATGCCTCATTAAATTCCTGTGGGCAGATACATTGGATTAACTAAGGAATGTGTGTAGAACTATATTGTTTATTTAATTAAAACTCTTTTGAAGAAATATGAGCTTGAGAGAAAAGTGCCTATATTTCTCTTTTGTGCCACGGGGGCAGGGGCGGTTGCTACTTATCTTAGCACCAGGAGTCCAGTAACCACAGGCATTGAATGAATGTGCTGTGACTGGTTACAGAACAGTAGAGGGGTGGCCACACCCATCTCCACAGTCCTGCTTGTAGTAAGACTAGGTGTATCTTTAATAAGTGGCCTTCCAAGAACAGGAAGTTTCATTGCCTCAATCCATGGTAGGCTCCATTTTCCCTTCAGACAGTGAAGAGAAAAAAAGGTGGAAAATTTAATTCCTAGGAGACTTTTATCATT